ACTCCCCTTTTCAGGATGAAGGTGGAACATGTGCTCCCCCGAACACACGTGACACAAGAATCAGAATGGTAGACACCGTGATGTGAGAACCTTTTTCGGTCAGCGTCGATCAGCTCGCGTCTCAGGTGCCAAAGTCGACTTCCCGGCCGTCACCGGGCTGACTGCGGAAGCTCTGCTGGCTGCCATCGACCGCCGAGGAGCAGGCAAGTTCGTTTTGCGGAGCCTAGCAGGGCGAGTGAGGGGTGCGGTCCGATCCCTTTGAAACCTGGTGACCGCAAATGGCAGACGCACGTTTTGGAGCTAAGAACCGCTTGGGCGGCCCGAGGGCCTAGAGCTCGCAAGTCAGTTCCAGGCTTCATCACAGCCTCAGACCTGGCGGCGTGCAGCTTGGGCCTTAGTCGTTTTCCCGGGATTCAACTCGATGGGACGGGTCCCAAGATGCCCATCCAATGGTTGCAAGATGACCCAAACTGAGTGATGAGTCCAGCGGAAAAGATGCATTTGTTGCCAACTTTTGGACGCATCCACATCCTCGTTCCAATACCCAACAGCTCCCAGGAACCGATAGGAGGCCAGGCTAGCGTGCTGACATCGCCCTTTATGAACCCTCCAACATGCTGTTTGAGGATACCTGAGAATCCTGGTATGCGAAGGTATCCGGGGATCAACGGCTTCCACCAGCCCCAAACCGACTTTTTCAGCGGTTGGATGTACAATCACTTGTTCCAACGCCAAAAGAGTTCTAACCTGCTTTCTCTTGGTGGTTTTGCACCCGGGCCATTCTTCAAGACTCCTGGGGCTCGGGGGGTTCTCAGGGCCGGAGCTCTGGAAGTCCTGCGGCGCGCGGCCGCCGGAGCTGGAGGAGAAGTTCCGGGCCAGCCCCGGAGCTTCGAGAGAGAGAAAATGCGGAGTTTTGCTTCCATGGAGCAGACCCTTAAGAGAGACCTCCCAAATTGGGCTTCCCAACCTCTGGGCCCAGGTTTGAAGGGAGTGGCAAGCTGGGCGAAACCGGAATCTGCAAGTTTTTGACAAGCCAAGGAACCCAGCACAGTCATTGGCAGAGGACTCTCCGACGCTCTTGTGGGAGTCTTCTGCTGCGGGGGGACCATTTTGAATGATGGGTCCCTTCAAGCGGTCACACGCTAAAGGGTTTCCCTTGAATGCACCCACCATTTTTTTGCTCGGGTGATGTTAGATTTTGAATGTGTCAAATGGACCCACCCACTACGATGCCCAAGATTCTACAAGATCAGGCGCTGCCGTGGCTGGCAGCTGGCGGTGCAACCCAGGCGGGAAGATAAGCTACGGGGTGCCGAGCAAGAAGAAAGCAGCCCCCCCATCCACCTCAAAGCAAGCCAGCATGAGCCTTTTTGAGCAGAAGGTTGCGCTTGTTGGTTTCCTCCTCCCTTGAGCTCGCCAATGGGTCATGTCGTTTGGGTCCTTGGAGGTTTGGATCTTTGGGATCTGGTGGAACGTTTGGATGTGTCGGATGGAGTTAGATGAATTTGGCGCATGCTTTTCCTACCGCAGATTTATTTGAGATCAAGACCTCTGGTAGAAAAGCTGAGCTGCGCCAGCTTGCGAGGCGGGAGTGGGCAGCTAGAGTCGACAACTAAAATCACAAAGGCAGAGGTGACAGATAGTCAACATGAGGGGGCCATTTTTCTAAGAGACCAATTGGTGTCGTATTTGGCAAATGTCCTGTAGATAATTTCCTGTAGATGGTTGCTATGATTTTGGGACCTTCAACGCCACGGCAAGGTAGCGGCACCATGAGTTAATGCCATGGGTTGTGCAAAGGTCTGTTGCTTTTTGCTCCGGTGCCATGTTGTGGCTTGCCCGTTCGGGGAACCAGTTTGGGGACAAAAATGGCTTCGGGTGCCAGTTGGGTGTTTCCTTTAAAACCGCCCAAAACAGGGGTACCCTCGAAAAGAGACCCACCCAAATGCTCAGATCCCTCTGCGCCAGAGCCTTTCTAGGTCTTCCAGCCGATGGCTGCTGCACTGAGCTTGCTTTCCGTCGTGCCTTTGGCGTCCGAACATGTTCACAAATCTGTGTAGCAGTGTGTATCCGTCTTTTTCTGGCAATCGCAGTAGTGGACGAGGATTTTTTGGCAGACTGCCAGCATCTCAAAAAGGCTTCCCTCCATAATTGTTACAAAGAGCGTACACTGCTGAAGCATGTTGCTGTGCTGGCTTCGCCAATGAGGATCCTTTGCAAATGTGGGTGCTTGTTGAGTGGGGGGGGGGGGGGGGCGGTCTTGTCGGGAGCGCATCATTTGAGGATATGGGTGACTCTGGCGCGTGGTACGACACAGATTCGGTGCCTTGGCGAGCAACCAACTTGATTCTGCATGATGTCCCATAGCCAGCAGTCTGTGGTCAATTCGAGACAGACATGGGGGACTCCCTAGTTTTCCCCACAAACGCAGAGGCCTCACTAGTTCCCCCTGTCCATTTAGGGCGCAATGATTTGACCGTGGGTCTGACCAGATGGCTTTGCCTCGAGACCCGAGTTAGGACTCAACTCCCTCGCAGCCAGAGGAGGCAGGGCTTCCGTCCGATGTCTTCCGTCCAATGTTCGGCTCCGGAGGCGAAGCTGCGGCTCGGCAAGGATTTCCTCTCGACGAGTCCATCCAGCCCGGAGGAGCTGACTGAAGCCGGGCTCGAAAACATGCCGGCCGCTTTTCGAGCAGGATGGCTGGAAGATTGGCGCAGAGATCCAGAGGCAGGCATGCCGAATGTTCAGAATTGTTACACCATAAATGAGCACGGATCCCAAACCCCCATGAAAGATTCCTGGAGACATGTGTTTGTTCAGGGTCCACGTTGATTTTGATTTTGGGGGTGGCAACGTGCGTTGCCAGGAGCGTGCTTTTGTCGCAACCACGGAACCTCAAGTCCATCGCCCCTCCTCCAAAGGAGCTGATGGATTCGAAGGGGTTCCGATCGCATGCGAACCAAAGGACAATCATTTTTGTCTATCCAAAAGGAACATCTTTTTAGGGTCACCCTGTTTTTCGGGAACCGCCTTTTGGTTAGTTTTGAAGCCCAAACCAATTGAAGGGATTCCATTTTAAGGGTGCCCTAGTTGTGAGGCAACCCATTTTTCAGCCTTTGAGACAGAACCGTCTGCGGCTCGCTTCCATGGGTTTGCTCCAGTCACTTCCCCAGTTTCTGGACTTTAAGCTTGCAATTGGGAAGATCAACTTAGCGGCAAGCAACACGTCTGGAGTTTGCCCTGACCAATCACACAGGAACTGAGTCATCTGGGTGTCTTTTTTGAGGGTACCCCATTTTGGGGGGTTTTAAAGATAAACCAAAGGGAAACCAAAGCCATGGGGTGTCCCCGCAAAAAGACAGGCCCAGGCAGCTTAACTTGACACATCGCGCAGGAGCCAGCTCCACTCTTCATCGAGCCACTGCCCCCTTCCATGAAGGTACCAACACCGCTGGTATCTGCAGGGCTAAACCCATTTATTCCGGCCTGGATCTCAAGGTCGAGTTTGCGTGTGTGCATTGTGTGCGCTGTTTTGTGTGGTTTGCATATGTTGGTGGGTTGTGTATTGTTGAAAAAGCGCGTATAGATCTCGTTGTTTGTTTGTTTCTTTTTTCTCGGGCGCAAGGTGTTGTCCATGTTTCAGTGTGTCAATCGACCTTGGGCAAAATGGCTGATAGCCATGTCTACATTTTTTTGTGGTGGGGCGCTCGTTGTATGCGAAGGCTCCAAGGATGCAAGTCCGGAAACCAGCTGCAGACGCACGTTGTTCGCATCGCCTTGCGGCGTAGGTCCGCGTGGCACCTTGTTTAGGTACCCGCGGAGACATTTGCGTACCCAAGCGAAGATTTACTCACCTGCCAAGGAATCTGTACCAATAAGTTCAAGGCCCCAGCTGATTTTTTTGGGTTTTTCTATCTATCCCTGCAGAATGTATTGAAGTTGCATAATATGCCGAGGCTAAGAAGCGGCTGTCGTTCGCAGAGGAGCTGGGTGCAAGCCCGACATTCCAGCAGCCGCTTGGATTTCCAGCTTGCAGGGAAAGCCACCCAGACTATGCGTGTGTGTCTGTGTGTGTGTGCGTGTGTCTGTGTGTGTGTGTGTGCGTGTGTGTGTGTGTGTGTGTGTGTGTGGGTGCGTGCGTGCGTGCGTGCGTGCGTGCGTGCGTGCGTGCGTGCGTGCGTGCGTGCGTGCGTGCGTGCGTGCGTGCGTGCGTGCGTGCGTGCGTGCGTGCGTGCGTGCGTGCGTGCGTGCGTGCGTGCGTGCGTGCGTGCGTGCGTGCGTGCGTGCGTGCGTGCGTGCGTGCGTGCGTGCGTGCGTGCGTGCGTGCGTGGTGCGTGCGTGTGCTGCATGTTTGCGTGGGTGTTGCGTGGTGCACGTGAAGTGTGACGTGTACGTGTGCGTGTGTGTGTGTGCGTGTGTGTGTGTGTGCGTGTGTGTGTGCGTGTGTGTGCGGTGCGTGTGCGTGTGCGTGTGTCCGTAGTGTGTGTGTGTGTGCAGGTGTGTGTGTGTGTCCAGTGTGTCTGTGTGTGTGTGTGTGTGTCTGTGTCTGTGTGTGTGTGTGTGTGTGTCTGTGTCTGTGTCTGTGTCTGTGTCTGTGTCTGTGTCTGTGTCTGTGTCTGTGTCTGTGTCTGTGTTTGTGTGTGTGTCTGTGTCTGTGTCTGTGTCTGTGTCTGTGTGTGTATGTTTGTGTTTGTGTGTGTTTGTGTTTGTGTATGTTTGTGTGTGTGTGTGTCTTTGTGTGTATGTTTGTGTGTGTGTGTTTGTGTGTGTGCGTGTTTGTGTGTTTGTGTGTTTGTGTGTGTTTGTGTGTTTGTGTGTGTGTTTTTGTAGTTGTGTGTTTGTGTGTTTGTGTGTTTGTTTGTTTGTGTTTTTGTGCGCGTGCGCGTAGGCGTGCGCGTGTGCGTGTGCGTGCGCGTGCGCGTGCGCGTGCGCGTGCGCGTGCGCGTGTGCGGGTGCGTGTGCGTGCGCGTGCGCGTGTGCGTGTGCGTGTGCGTGTGCGCGCGCGTGCTGGCGTGCGCTGCGCGTGTGCGCGTGTGCGCGTGTGCGCGTGTGCGCGTGTGCGCGTGTGCGCGCGCGTGCGCGCGCGCGGGCGTGCGGGCGTGCGGGCGTGCGGGCGTGCGGGCGTGGGTGTGGGTGTGGGTGTGGGTGTGCGTGTGCGTGTGCGTGTGCGTGTGCGTGTCCGTGTGGGTGTGGGTGTGGGTGTGTGTGTGTGTGTTGGTTTGTTTGTGTGTGTGTGTGTTTGTTTGTTTGTTTGTTTGTTTGTTTGTTTGTTTGTTTTTGCGTTTGTTTGTGCGCGTGTTTGTGCGTGTGTTTGTGCGTTTGTTTGTTTGTTTTGGTTGTTTGTTTGGTTGTTTGTTTGGTTGTTTGTTTTGTTTTTTTGTTTGATTGTTTGATTGTTTGATTGGTTGATTGATTGATTGATTGATTGTTTGGCTGTTTGGCTGCGTGGTTGTTTGGTTGTTCGGTCGTTTGTTTGTTTGTTTGTTTGTTTGTTTGTTTGTTTGTTTGTGTGTTTGTGTGTTTGGGGGGGGGGGGGGCGGGTAGCCTAATTTGGGTGATTTACTTGGAGCCAATTCAAGAAGCCTTTGTTTGTTGGGCGGGTTCCTCAATTTGTCGACGCGCCCTGAGAGCATCGAGCGTGCAGGACACAGCCACACCAAAGTTGTTCAGCTCTTTGCTGGGGTCCCTCCGTCAGTGATACCATTTTGTGGCGGATTGCGATGTTCACATGCAAGCGGACTTCAATCAGGCATCATTTTCCATACCATCCCTCAGGCGCATTTCCCTCTTTGGTGCTTTAAAAGTCTTACTCAACCCAGAACCCAGTCTAGGTCTATGATTGTTACCTCAACAAGCATAGAACATGTGGAAGCCTGCAAGAGGGTTTTCCTCTTGGGGATACCATGTGTCAGTTGCCATTTTGGTGGGACTGGAAAGGAAACGCCCTCAAAGCTGGGTATGGACATCCAATGAATATATTAATAT